TATATATATATATATTGTTTCTCTATCATTTTACTCTCTTTGTTGTGTTTTTATTTGTTGGTGTGTTAATTTTTATTTCTTGTCATTGTTCTGATGTGTTGTTTTTCTATTTTTGTGTGTTTATATAGCGTAATGTCATTTAATTTGATTTTGTTCTTAGATCTACCTTTTTAAAAAATATAAATGTGTTTTGTAAAACTGTATGTCCACCAAAAGTGAATACTGACTCTGGCAGGCCCCTTGTGTGTGATTCCATAATTTACATGTAATATCCTGTACTTTTTCCTGAATTACATACGTTTAGAGTTAAAACGGCCAATCTTCGGATAGGTGGACTCACGCCCTTATTTGTTAATTTTTCGTGGTTCTTTATGTCCTGTTCTAATTTTGATTTCATTCTGTTGTGAAACTTTTATTTTTCATGTTTTTACACTCTGTTTGACTACAAAATATGATCTTCTGGATGCTTACAACAGAGCACAATAAATTATTGTGCTTTAGATTAAGTTACCTCTATCAACACATTGCTAGGCGTCGTCGCAGAGAGTTGAAAGCTTGAAAATTAATTGCAACTTTTATGGCAACTTTTGCCACTTTTTGTGGTAACTTTTGGCAACTTTTGGACAGAAAGATGACAACAAACGCAGATGCTAGTTTAGTGTAACAGTTAGGATCTTCGTCTGGTACACCAGAGACATAAGTTCCTTTCCCATGCAAGAAATTATTTTTTTTAAATTGTAATGTCTGTCTTTTTTTTGGAAAGAATCCGATGCAGCTCAGTCTGGTCATCACAGACGGTGTCAAGCAGCCTGCCAATCACGAGGAGATTTTTTAAAACTACATCGGGCCATAATTCCTGGAAAACAGAAACTGCAGGGATTCCTGTGACGCTGAGATGGTGACCTGCTGAAAACATTCCATCCTCTAGCACAAAAAACACACCCCAAAATTATTTTTTTTAAAACCCGACCCTGTCACTGTGTAGGGGTCTTTGGCAAGTCTTCATCCCTACTTTACTTGTGTCACTGTAGTTTCATATTATTACCCCTAACAGACCCTAGAACAATCGGAAACATCCTCGGCTACCCAAGAAGCATACAGAGCAAGCTGCGAATTGCAAGAGCTCAAACACTAACAAACTGACAAGATCTTTCGCTGTCTATAGATGGGTACCCATTCTCACCTGGCTGAAGTGAGGAAAATTGGTGTAAAGTGCCTTTCCCAAGGGCACAAGGCTGGGTCCCTTGCGGGATTCGAACCCACGACCTTACGTTGCGATCTTGAGAGCCTAACTGCTAGGTCACCGATGCCAGTTAGGCTTTGTCTTTGCCTCACCAAAAGATAATTTGTTTCTCACATTCAAACGTGAAGTATGCATCCAACCATGCTACGCAAGAAACGTCACTTTCTAAAGCACCTTTATCAGACTGTAAAAGACACCTTGATCCATCATATTATGATTTTTTAAAACTGTGACATACACTACATAGACCTGGACTATATAGTGTGAAATGTAACATTATTTTTTAATTAGGACATTTCTGCTGATGTTATCGACAGGTCAACCAAAGGGACCAGGGACCAGGCCTGACTTTGGGAGACCAACAGGAGCAGCCTGAACTTTATAAGTAGCATGCATGTATTATAATTTTATACATTTAATCTATATTCTGATTTATGCCTTATCTAATGCTTTCTCCATTAAATTGAATTTTGACAATACTTCCTTTAAACACCTCACTCATTCCATTAATTCTGACAACGTCAGAACGTAATGTCGGCTTACCAGAGGTGCGCTCTATGTTTAGTTGTTCATAGGAAAAAATAATAACTTTTCTAGGCACTCATTATTTTCTTTTTACTCGGAGTATAACTGGATTGTTGATGCTGAGTCAATCAATGTCATATCTAACACATTGCTAATGTGAACTGCATATGGGATCAAGAAATGGGGGACGTAATTTGTACTGTACGGGTGAATTCTTGAACTGATTGGAACCTCAGAAGCCCCTTTATTATTCCCCCACCCCTTCTTTTCATTAATTAATTCATGAGTCCCTTGATCATGTCTGTCAACATCTTCAACATCTTCCTGTTGCACAAAGTTTCTGCAGCGGAAATTGTATACAATTAATGTCCCTTTCAACACAGGTTATTAAATGGTGCGGCACCTCCGAATTTAGCGACAGTCTTCGGTAGGATCAAGCCAAATGGGTGTAGTGCTTTAAAACATCTTCATAAAAACCCAAGTTCAGAACGCCTGGTTGGGGAATTCGAGCCAGGGACATCCACTCTGTAGTCCAGCATGATACCAAGTGACTCATGGCGTGTCCAATAAGGGACAAGAACATAAAATTTGGAGAATAAAAAAGGATGTACAGAAAATCACCACAACACCTATCGCAAAGTGCCGGGTTCCCCATCAACATTATTGAAGTGACGATAATTTCTCTTGACTTCGAACCTTGAACCTGAGAGGTGACGAAGTAAATTCACATTGCATACATTTTCATTTGCAGCTAGATTGTACTTCCTTGAAACTAAATGAGCGTTGATTTAGATTTAGTAAGTACGGCACTTGCAACAAAAATGATATAGGTGATCATATGAGCGCCGAAGATAAGAGGTGTTACTAGAGAGTAACAAACAAAGTAAAGAAGGAGGAGGGATAAGAACGACATGTGCGTGTGTGTATGTGTGTGTGTGTGTGTGTGTGTGTGTGTGTGTGTGTGTGTGTGTGTGTGTGTGTGTGTGTGTGTGTGTGTGTGTATGTTGTCTGTTGATATCTATCGTTTTGAAATGCGCGTAAAGAAAGTAGTATCGCATGACCTCAAACTCGACAAAACGACTGCTGATTGCTTGTCAGGGCAGACTGGGGTAAATAAGTCATTGCTCCGCCCTGACAACTCTTGTATTCCCCTTGCACACAACTGACATCTCTGGTTGTTCCGTTGTCTACACTTTAATCTTGCATGCAGTGAGACTGACTATGATAGTTTTTAGATTTGTCCTTATCATTATGGTGAAAACGTTAGGCTTGGCCAAGACTTAATTAAAAATGACGTGAAAAGCTCTTTTAATTTCATTTTTAAAAAGTGGCATCGCTGATTTTCCCCTTGCACCCTTCATACAATGTAGATCTATATTAATTACTGACTTTTGAACACAGTGCCAGAATCCCGTTCCTCCCCCCCAATGGAATGACGAAACAGCATGCCATATTATTATATCAAAGCCTGATTATCATCCTGGCCTCCCCATCCCCCCCCCCTTTTTCCGCCCTGCCTTCCCCATGCCTCTCTAACTCTAAGGCGCAACCATATAAACGCCCGACACGAACGGTCAGACCAGACCGTCTTCGGGCACAAAAGAATGCGCACCAGCTCTTTAGTAACGGGAGGTAACAAAAACGGTTTGGGCTACCATACTGACGCCTGACGTCCTGTGTCGTCCCCGGTCAGACCGTCTCCGATAAAACATGTTCTATCGAAGACTGTCCGTCGGGCGAAATGGGAGGTAATTTTAATGTTATCTCTGCATACTTGTGTCCCCTTTCCCGCCTCAATGACACTATAATATAGAATTCTAGTATAACAGTTCTTGGTCAGCTCTTCATAATATCTCTAGCAGTTCATTGAAACTGCTGTTTCATGAGATAGCATTGTTGGAATTTTTCACTCTCTTCCACCAACTGCGGAAACAATTTTAATGATGAAATTCGCCTAGTGTATCACGCTTTCTTTGGATGGGGTGCACTGGAAATCTTCTTGTCTTGGTTTTCCTTTTATGTCTGCGTCTCACAAGCAACAACAACGACAATTTTCTTCTTCTACCACACGCCATATTTTCAAGACGGCGGTGTCTGACCGCCAAACTCCGGTGTCTGACCGCTAAACTCCGGTGTCTGACCGCCAAACTCCGGTGTCTGACCGCTAAACTCCGGTGTTAATATGGTCGGCAGCACCCGACGGAAAACGGCGCGTCTGGTCTGACTGTCGGTGTCGGGCGTTACTATGGTCGCGGCCTAACCCTCCACTGTCCTCTTGACAGAGGAGAACAAGTTTACATTTAAAAGTGGGCAGGTGAACCCCGGGGTGTACTTTTTTTTAAATTTGATTTATTTTACTTTTTTTGGTGAATCCCCGCATATTTGACAGAATCTGGAGTAGATCTAGACCGTTGACTCTGGGGTTCACCTTTCCTTAAACTTAACCCTACGGTAGGACTTATTTTACTTAGTTGGCCCCGGGCTCCACCTGTCCTTAAACTGAAACCTACTTATTTCACTAGTTTTACTCCGGGGTCCACCTATCCTTAAACCTACTTATTTCACTACGTTGACTCTGGGGTCCACCTATCCTAAAACTAGTATTCCGCTAGGCAGACCCCGGGGTCCACCTATCCTCTTTGCTAGGTCCACAAAGGGTCCACCTATCCTCTTTGCTAGGTACTCATCAGGGTCCACCTATCCCCCCCCCCCCCCCCCCCGAAAAAGTTACTGAACGTCTGTCAGTCTTTCAGATATAATATGATATAATATGGAACAGTGAAAGACAGTGAAAGAAGTGGAGGGACTTATTGTTGCAACTCACCAAAACAAAACAAAACAAAAAAAAACACAAAAAAGCAAGAACAAAAAGGCAAAACAAACGAACTAAAAAAGAAACAAGAAATGCCAGTACCATGAATGCATTTTTCAGTGTTTATTATTGTACCAGACTTCATTTTAGGACTTTTGATAAAATATGAATACTTTAGAATAATTATATTGAACATTCATTATTTAACCTATATTAAATCCATGGTAAGTAAAATGACGAAAACCCAACTTTTCTACAACAGAGAATTTGAAAGAAATTGGGACAACAATGCTTTTAGAAGTAGATCTAATAGAGATAGAAACTGACTTTGATAAGAGCAACCCCCCCTCCCCCCCAAAAAAAAAAATCGACCAAAAAAAGTTTTAAACCTCTTCAATTTTGAATACGTAACGAAGCTTAACCGACATAAATGTCGTACTCATTAACGGGGCGGATATTATTGGAGTTGAAGAAGTCTAAAACGTCGTCAGTACATTCTTTTGGCTTGGGTCTGAGGGCCTGGAAGTGAGCCTTCCAGTAATGACGCCAGTAGTCCCAGACTGGGTCATGGTAAGCAGGTTCGAACTCATAATTCGAGCTGAAATCGGGCTCAGGTATGCTCTGGATGTCATGATAGTAGAAAGCATTGTACCAGAAGAAGTAATTGTACCAGTAGTCCGACTCGATTTTGCTGTGTGGATCGGTCTCCAAGTTCGCAGGCGCGATTAGATCATGGGTGGGCTTAAACTCATCATAATATTGGGAGTAGGTATTTTTATTCCAGCGTGTACCATTAAAAAACATGCAGTGTGTGTAGTCATGATAGTCCAGTTCCGGTTCTTGTCTTTTGCCCGTTGCTTCGAGAATACCATCGGCTTGCAGGGATCCCGTCAGAGGGACGCTCCTTGCCTGGCTAGGCTTGCTATCCACTGCGGCTATTGGAAAAGGAACGAAAGAGAAAAGTTTTAAAAAATCAGCCGACATGCATGTCGAATCGAAATCAGAGCAGCGTCGGCAAAGATTCTCTAATACATGTAGTAGTAGAGAATCTTTGGTGTCCGTGCGGAAACGGCAACCAAGCAGGAAACCATCAGTTACAAGCCTGCTCAATGCTCGGGGCATTTAGAAGGAAATATTGGTTCAACCCAAGGTAAAGAGACACAAAATTCTTTGGGGGACTTGCGGTGAACAACAGTATTTCCGCTAGGTGCTGGGAGGATTTCCGTTTAGTAGAGAAGAAAAAGAAGAAGAAGAAGAAGAAGAAGAAGAAGAAGAAGAAGAAGAAGAAGAAGAAGGAAGGTCGAAATCATTGGGTAAACGTAAAGTCTAGGCTAACCCTCCACGTCTTGGCGCATCACGACGATCACAACTAGGTGTTTCCAGCTGCTGACTGAAAGACATATATTACCTACGAAACCCACTGTGACGCATTACATACAAAGTTTATAAAAAGATAAATATTAGCCTTTTAAACCCACAATACCTTGAAGATGAACGTTGTAAATGCATCAGGTTGCAATGCCATTTTGAGACTACAATTGTACAATATGTACATGTATTTCTTTACTATTTCTTTTACTGCTTCACTGTCCTAACATGTTATGGGTTTGTTTTCCCCGTGTGAACATGGCCTTCTTATAATGCTAAATGTTGACCCTTTTCCCCCTAAAACAAGTATGCACTGTATTATATCGTATGGGTAAATGTCAAACGTTGAGGGTTTTTTCCAGGCGGGCAAAAGTTACATGGCTAAACAACCTGTCCTTTTAGAAAATACGTTAAATGGAAACCAAAACCAGAAAACTATGAACACCAGCGACCGAGAGGAATCGGTGGTCAGACAGGGATTTTTATTGGCTGGTTGACCAATAACCAACTGGTTAGACCATTGTGGAAGCTGACAACCTGACTGTGGGTGATCAAAAAACAAAAACAAAATCACACCCAAAAAAATTAACAAAACAAAACAAATAAACGGAGGATGCGGGTGGAAACCTTTGATGTAAGGACCATGCATGGGATAAGTCAGTGAAGGAGTTTGACAATGAAAACTAGTTGGAAACCTGTGAGTCTTGGTGAACGGTAGCTGACGAAAATATAATAATTAGTAGCCTTCTTGTAATAGAGTCATGCATAACTTACCGACAGGTTGGCCTACTAAAAAAACCGTAGAGAGGACAAACAGCCCTCTGAAAGAGTAGCATCCTCGACAAAACGGTAAATTCATGTACAGGTACATGTACACATATATGATAATAATATTATATAGAACACTTCCGGAAAAGAAACGCTTGGGACCAACGTTAGTCTGGGCAGAACCAGCCTAAGATACACCAAGTTTAGACTAGAGCTTTTGACACACATACAAGTGTCATTTCAAACATAAATGGGAAGAATAAAAACGAAAGTAGAAAAGAACGGAAATGAATCAAAGATGACACTCGCATAAAGAACGACAAACAAACAAAACAAGATCTATTTTTTGCTCTGTGACTGTGAGCAAAATTCACAGAGCCTTTTCCTTCATCAGAGCTAGAGAAATTGCATTTCTTGCTAACATACCCATTCTCTCTCTCTCT